GTGGTACACTTGGTTAATCAAGATGCTTTCCTTCAAAACATGTGGGAAGAAAATGAGTTTAAATAAAGTACCTATTCTATGATCGACTTTTTAGAACTGGTTTATTTTTAAAGTACAGCACAATAAACATATCAATAGATCAAGACCGTTAAGGGTCAAAGCCAGCATCTAAGATATTGTCCATCTCTAAGAATCCCTACTTCTTTTTCAGCGTGGACCCCACCATCCCTCCAAAACCAAACATAGGACACTTACATTCCCCTGGAGTGGTCTTCACTCTCAGATAGCTACTCACCTACCACCCTTAGCTCCAAAGTGGCTTCTTCAAAGTCGCTGCCCTTTCTAAAGAAACACCGGTACATTCCATTGTCAGAGACCCGGACATGGTAGATCTTTACAGCCACTCTTCCCTCGGACATGCGATCCTTCACCAGCTCTGTTCTCCTTTTGAAATCTTCGAGCTGTTGTCCTGTCTGCTCCATCCCATCCTGATACATGTACACAGCCTCTGAGAACTGGGAGCGATACCACCGCAGCTCCATGTTCTCCACACTCATGGCTGGGTCAACATAACAGGGGAGCACAGCGTCCGCACCCAGCATGACCACAATGGGCTCTGAGGGGCCGACGACTAGGAATGAATCTGTGGGATAAAGCCAAAAGTGGAAAGGACGTCAGAAAGACTTTCCTGGACTATCCAGGGAGTGGGTGGCATCATCACTGACCCAGCAGAGCCCCAGGAGCCTAAACTCAGCAGGTATGTGCAGCGTACATGCAAGCTGAGGTCAGTCGTGGTGAGCAAGGGTCTGGACTTCTTTCACATCAGAAGGGATAATTACACATAATTCTAGTGACTTCTTGATTGCAATGGGAATGCACGGGAAGGGGGAGGGAAGAGAGAGGGGAAACAAAGGACATGCATTCCTCACAAAGCTTAACCCTGACAGGCGGTCAAATCAGTCATTTTACCAGATGAGGATTTACAATTAACGCAGGCATGTAGAGAACTTAAAAGTTATTTGATGCTTCAACTCAGAGAACAGAGACTCCATGTCTATAAAAACCGGAGTTCTCACCTGAGACCCGCAGGGACACCTGCAGAAGCAGGACGGAGAAGAGGCCGCCTGGCAGAGAGACATTCAGGGAACTCAGCATCTTCCCCAGGGTGCGGAGCATGGTGCCCCAGAGGGCGGGCCTGCAAATAGCTGGGAAAACACAGGAAGGAGATTCTCAAGGCTAGAGAGCCATGGCTAAGGGTTCACCGTGCTCTTAAGAAATGGTCTCCTGGAGCTCTCAGGCACCTGCAGTGTCTTCCCCAGAAAACAGCAGGAGCCCCTCCGTCACTCACACACAGACCTTTCACTTCCCCTTCCCAGGGACACAGTCCTCATCTGAACAGCCATGTTCTGAGTCTGCCAATGGCTTCCCTGAGCTCTTCTCCTTCAAGAAGGGAAAGATGCCATGGACAGAGATGCAGGGGGGCGGCAGGAGAGGGAGAGGGCAATGTCTCAAACCTGGCTCAGCATCCCTGTATTTTCCCCTCACACCTTCCTGTACGATGAAGGAACAGATACAACTCTGCCTGTCCTCCCTGCACCCCAGTTTCATGCCCTGTTTTCCTCCCCCCGTCCTTCCTCCTGCCCAGAACCCAGCTGAGGCTCATGCAGCACTCACCTTAGGGAACCAGGGCTGGTGGAACAGCTGTCTGTTTCAGCAGCGACAGCCGGTGGTCCTGGCCTGCCTCCCAGCTCCCCTGTCTACCAGCTCTCCTGTGAGTCTTGCTCCAAGATGCCTCAGAAAGTTCATGATCCCAGAGCAAGGTTTAGAGACCATTTAAAGGACTGAGAAAACCAGAAGCAGACAGACATGGCGGCACACACCTTTAATTCCAGCACTCAGGAGGCAGAGGCAGATGGATCTTTGTGAGTTCAAGGCCAGCCTGGTCTACATAGCGAGTTCCAGGCCAGCTGGGGCTACAGGAACCAAAATGACCAAAAAAATGAAAGAAAGAAAGAAACAAAGAAAGAAGAAAAACAGAAAACCAGAAGTAAGAAGGCCCCTCACAGGAAACCTCTAGGGACAAGCTCCTTGCCACCCGGATATTCTCAAAACTGAAAGTTAAGTAAGGTTTGAAAAGAGACCTTGAACTTGGTACAGGTAGAAACCTAGTTAATAATTACATAGGGACAAGTTTTAGGGAGGATCAGGAACAACTGGTTTCCGTCTAAGACGTGCATGCTCCTGGTTAATGGCCCAGATTAGAACTTGATGGCCTGAGTAAAATCTTCACAGTCCACCAGGGAAGAAGCTTCCAGTGCAGCTCCAGCCTGATTTCTCTGCGTCTTACAATCAAGGTGTGTGGTGTCTCCAGCAACTGGGTCTTATCAACTGCTTCTGTTGGAGAACCAAGAGGGATGAGAGGAGCCTGTGTTGTTTAGGCCACCTTTGGGGCCTCCCTGACCAGTAGCTCATAGGAACACCCATATGTGACAGTGGGGTGTTTTGTTACAAACCATGACTCTTAGGAACATCTATCTATCTATCTATCTATCTATTTGTCTGTCTGTCTGTCCATCTGTCCATCCGTCTATCCATCCATCCATCCATCCATCTGTCTGTCCGTCCATCCGTCCATCCATCTATCCATCCATCCATCTATCTATCATCGCTGGAGGACGCTTCTAAAATAATAGGTTCCCTGTGGCTTTTTTCATGCGCCTTTCAGGTTACCCTCCTTCCCCTGCAGCTCCCCCAGCCCTCCAACCACATCTCTGCCTCTTTCCTGCTGGCTGGCTTTCATAGTGTTGAAAGGTGCTATGCGATCTGCTGGGCAAGAAAAACCATCAGTAGTCTTCTCCACCTGTGGACCCTCCAAACTTCAGCATCAACCTCCCAGGCAGGATGTGTCCACTGGTACAACAGTGGCATGACTATTAGGGGGTAACCAACTGCTCTCTGATAATCCAGTCAAAATCTCTTGGCTGAGGAGGTCTTGGGCCTTAAGGGGGAGCACACTGTTGTTTAGCTTAATTAACATTGCTCTAAGCTGCCATCTAAATATCTGTGTTTACGCCATACACAAATGCTGCCTCAGCCTTGATCAGAGAAGCTTCTCTTTGCACTGAATGATGGTAAATGTAGAAATTGCTCAAGGTGGTGGGAATAAGTGAAAGGTCAGTGGTCAGCCCTAAACAGGATGTTTATACCATCCCATCCAGGCTCAGGAAGCATCTCAGAAGAGGAGCCAGAAAAAAAATATAAGAGCCAGGACATAGAAGAGGGACCTTAAAATGCTTCTGGGTATAACATAACCAAGGCAACCGTGATCTGGCAGCAGCTGGGCCTGCCTGCAATGGGCCTGCACAAGACTGGACCTGTCACCAGTCAATCATAAGCTGCCTGATCTCATAAATGGAATGAAAATATAGCACATATTTATACAAATTGCAGAGAACTGTGAAATGAGAGTAATCAGTTTGAACCAACACCAATCAAATATTTCCGATAAAATAAGACAGAGTTAATAAATCTTGATATTCTGTCATTTTAACATTTTTATTCTATTATTCTACTATCTGGAAAAGTGTAAGTTTTGTCTGGCCAAACAGCTCAGCAGGTAAAGGGACATGCTTCCAGGC